TTATATTTCAACATTTTTGAATGAATGAAGAAGGCCAAATATAGCAGGAAAACATATACGAGGTTCCTCGCTGTTCAACCGATGGCACAGATGGAGTAGGCTACAAGATCCTTGCTGAAAATCTCCTTGACTTCTACAAGATCAATTGCTCCTCAACAACAATAGATATATCAAGACTAGATGTTGTAAAGCAACTTTCCAACATCAGAATGCCAAATGCCATGCATTCTGTAGTCTGAAGTTCAACAAAACAAAATTTCAGTGGCCAGAGTAAAAGAAAACATCCCATTAATAAAATACAGATGTCATCAAAAAGTACACCCGCCATATGGACGGAAACACGTTTTTTTGTGACAGACATGCAGTTGGGGAGAATCTGCACGTTGACTCAACACTTGAGATTGATACCTGTGTCTGGTAATGTGCCTTCAAAGAACAGGATAATCCTCTGCTAGCAAAATTGAGCAGATGAACCTGATAGCACAAGAGATTAACTACCATATTCAGTGTTTGGCCTCTCTCTACAATAAAATGAGAGAAAAATACATTTAAAGAACAGGATCTCAGCAGTATTAATCATGGCAGAGCATTTGCTGAATCATTGTCCTGTGTTGAGGAAGCCCTCAGGAGAGTCAACTTATATTATTTTTCACACTGAATAACCTGGCAAGTCTGTACCCCATCAGGCTGGAATAGCTTGCAACTGACGTGACTGGGCATGTTCAATACACCAAACTGAAAAATCGAATCCTAAGTGGAAACAAAGAAAACAAGACAGATCTGTTCTCCTTCCCGAGTACCAGAGGCTCCAAAGCAACAATACTTGACACCAACAGTCAAGTCATCAAGCACGCATCACAGTCTAGAGGAGTCATTGGTCTTACATCATGCACGCATGAAGAGGCAGACACATGCATCCTGCTACATGTGCAAGATGATATGAAGCAAGGATTTAGTATGTTGACACTGATATGGTATAGTTCTAGCAGTGATCCGAGTCCAGCACTTCAACATCACTAAGCAGTTGGTTGCATTTGTAATAGGGAGGATCTTCAGATTCTAATCAACTCATGAGATGACTAGAGCACTGATTCGTGACAAGTGCCGAGCTCTACCCATGTTCCATGCATTCACAGTAAAATATTTTGAAGTCAGAGGTAAAAAGATGCCATTGGGATACATGTACGTATTTTGATGAAGTCCCACCAGCATTCTGAACTCTGGCTGCTAGACATAAGTCTGTAGACGACTGGCTGGATACGTTGGAACACTTTGTTGTACTATTGTATGATCGATCCAGTTGTCAAGAGCATATCAACGACGTTCGTAACCAGCTTTATACGCAGATGTCCTTCCTCCAACACAACAAGAGGGTCATCTGTTCAGCTGTTAACTGTTGGTCACAGCTGATGCTTTCTGTACTGAGCTTCCATCTCTTAAGGAATAAGGACAGAGGTAGAGTGATAAAGGTAGCTGAGACATAAGGTGGGCAACTTGTCTGGAGGCTACACATGTCGCCAACCATTTTTGTTGTGGTTACAAGAAAGGTTGCAGAGGGCAGTGTAAATGCATGAAGACAGAAATTAAGTGCAATACTCTCTGTCAGTGCAGTAAACTATGTGATTTTAGTAGATTTACTACCAGTGGAAACAGAAGTTTGTACTTTTCGACTTTGTTTGTGGACTAAATAATTGATTATTACCAATGTATCTTGATATCTGGGCTGCATAATACCAATGTTTGAAATGTGATACTCAAACACTTACCACATAATTTTTTTAATATGACCGCAATTTCCATCGTAGGACAAATCTGCGATGGCCCTACAACCAACAATCTTTATCAAGAAGTGCCCTGTGTGATAAGTTCCATGTTTTTATCATTAAAGGCACAATTTTTACACATATCTGCTGGACTAAAGTCAAATATTTAATACAAGTAAAATTACCAGTCTAAAGCTTGTATGTTGGACTAAGAAATCCACAAACCTTTAATTACGTGTGGAAAACAACGC